TTTACTACTATCTGGCTGGAGAGGTTGTCCGACTTACAGCTTAACGAGAGTTTATATATGTTGTCCGACTTATCGAGAAAATTTTAAATATGAAAAATAAAGGCTGAGAGATTTTGTCCGACTTAGGCCAAATCCGACTTATCGAGTGTCCGACTTATCGAGTTTCACTATGTACATGTAACAGTGCTTTTTGAAACTTTCAGAATATGAGCTATAACTTTATGGGACTTCCAGCCAATTTGTAAACCAATAATTTAACTTTGTTTAAATTCATTTAATTCATGGTCTTTTCCCATGTTGAATGCAATCAAATTGTTTACATTTTCATGTTGATTATGTTTATGCTTTTGTTTATCAAAATTTATCTATACATCATAGCACAAAAAATTCATTTTTTGCCTATTTAATATGTTAATGTTCAATCTTGAACATTTAAAAATGCTTGGCCAAATACTTTTCCAAGGGTAGTGTACATTCCTAAAGATGTATCCTGAGTTAGTATATTTTTAATAAAAAGTATAAAATGTGTAAAAAGCAATAATAATAACCTGAAAAGTAAGAATAAGCAATTACACTCAGGTAGATAATCTCCCAAATTAATATTAGTGATAACATAATCTAAACTCCCCCTGAATATAACAAAAAATCATATTTTTGCCTTTTCCAAAATGTCAAACTTACTAACTATAAACATCAAATACATCAAATAATTCAATAATTTGTCATTTTATCCAACCTTCCTCTAAATAGCTCTTCATCCTGCTCCTCTCTGGGACAAGGCATCTCTGAAAAATGAGCAACTTTAAAAAAATTTAGGTAGACTTAATTTTATAATTTAAGAATCAAAGAGGAATTTGATTCTAGAGCCTTTGCCAAAGCTGTTGCTCCTGTAGCTCCAATTTGATTATACTGGAGAACCAAAGAGGTCAGAGAGGAATTTGATTCTAGAGCCTTTGCCAAAGCTGTTGCTCCTGTATCTCTAATTTTATTACACTGGAGAACCAAAGAAGTCAGAGAGGAATTTGATTCTAGAGCCTTTGCCAAAGCTGTTGCTCCTGTAGCTCCAATTTGATTCTGTCTAAGGTTCAAAGAAGTCAGAGAGGAATTTGATTCTAGAACCTTTGCAAAAGCTGTTGCTCCTGTATCACCAATTTGATTAGCCTGGAGAACCAAAGAAGTCAGAGAGGAATTTGATTCTAGAGCCTTTGCCAAAACTGTTGCTCCTGCAGCTCCAATTTGGTAACCATTCATATCTAATGTTAATGTAAGCATATAGTAGGCATCTGCTAATAGTCTCAATGTTAATGCCTTATTTGGTTCATATTCCAAAGATTTCATGAAATGCTTGAAAGCATTTTCATATTGACCAAGCATCAAATAGTCTGCCCCACTATTTCTCAATTCAAGTGCATCAGTCTGTGATAATTCATTCCAGGACATTGTCTAGTTAACTGAATTGTTCAGGATAATTATGCCGTATTCTCCGTGATTTCCGCTGTCGTAGTCGTTGGTACGGAATCTGTGACACACACACATCGGACTTGAGTAATACAAGCGCAGAAGCTGCGGAATTTGTGACAGACTTGACACTTTGATTTGATTATCCCGTTTTATCAAAGCGTAAGAAAAACAGCGGTCAAGAATTCTATATTTGGATTAAATAGCGCTCGTACAGCCCCCTCCAATAAATACGAAATTTTAATAGTAAAACATTTGAAAAGTTTTTCTTTTCAAAAATCTCTCCTGCTTTTGTGCACTATGCGAAGTGCAATAATCTTTGTATGGTTCTGAAGCTAATTGATTATACTGTTCGAAAAAAAATAACAATGAAATTTTATAAGTCATCACTATAAGCTGTAGCAAGTTGAAACAGCTGCCTTTGAATCATGATATGAAAATATATGATTATATATGTATTATACTCACACTTCGTCGAGCTATTAACTTATAACAGTAACTTATAAAATTTTATTGGTTTTTGTTTTTTTTTTTTTTGGAAGCATAATCAATTAGCTTCAGAACCACACAAAAATCGAATTTCTATCCATATATAGTGTTATTCGGAAATACTGCGAAATCACTGAGACATCTGGTAACTCAAGGGTTTGTTTAATTGTCCCGTCCCTGACAGATACGTCAAAACGTTCTTCCCGGTACCAACAGCCAGAATCGATTCTGCAGACAGAAATCCACCATACGGTAGTTGCCGTATTCCAATACATCTTTCACTATCACGTTGTATCAGTTACAGAACCAGTAGATAGGAATGCCACTTTTACGTAATCAGCAGCAGTAGTAGTAGCGTTGTTTTCGAGACCCATACGATATAAGTGTCCTACCCCGCCGACAGCCACTTCGCACCCGATTATATCTACATCCGTGTCTGGGGTGGTGCTCTGCCAGACTAAATGTGACGTGTCGAATTGTGGAGAACCAGGTAGCCAGAATGTGACATATAAAAAGCCGTGACAGAGAAGAAAGGGATTCTTTATTATTTAGCTTTTTGTGCAGTTGATTTATTGGAACCGCGCTATTGCTGTTTTTGAAAAAGCGGGATGACAATTAAATCAAATGATTGGGGCAAATTACAATGTTGAAAAATTTCCATTACTGTTTACCGGTTATTACAAGAAAATCCTTATTCGAGTTGACGTTAAAGTTAGCTTTTACAAGTAGTGCGTATTGATTTTGGATGAAACATCAGTCAGCATCACTCTAAGTTCAACGCTAACTTTTTAATGATTCATCCACTAGACACTCCATAAGCAGTTTTATTAGTCTTTGCCTGGTTACAAACAAATATCCATCATTAAGCGGGTAAGTAGAAGTAGTATTGTATTATAACCCAACGGCACAGTAAATTTTGTCAACGTGCCGTTTTTTGGATGTAGCAGACGTATATACAAATCGTTATAGTGTCCACTATTATTATAGAGCAATTGCATCAATCCTGTGTCGTTTGGATACGTAAAGCCATTGCGAATGTCGCCATAAGGGAGGGATGTAGAGAAGAAAAGCATGTCGCGCACTACTGTATAGTCGGAAGCCCGAATTCTCGTAAAGAAACAAAAAATAAGAACGAACAGCAAGAGATAGTGAAGTTTATTGATCATAGTTTGGATAGAACTGGCAATCAAATTACGTTCTAGATTAGAACTAGAAGCAAGTGGAACTTTTTACAAGTTCACAATGCACGGCGTTCAAAACAATAACTGAGATAAGGAAAGTGTTACACAATTCAATAGTAAGTTTTATACTTTTGAAGACTTGTGTGGCTTATCACTACAATAAAGTTTGCTTGGAAATCTAAGCCTTTGCAAAATTCTATTATTTCTTGAATCTCGCGTAGTTATTACCCAACAAAGTGCCTACTTGGTACAGAGTGAATATATTGACTCGCTAAATTCCGTTCACTAAGCAGAGAGAAATGGAAATCATAATGAGGAGGTAAGGATAACTAAAGCTGATTAATACGGCTAAAATTCGGCCCATATTGCGTACCATATACGCGTTTGATGAGCTTTTCATTTTTTGCGACACAATAAAGGCAAAGGTTTTTATGGTTTGACTTACTGTACTCATCGTGTAAGCAGACGGTTATGTCTATACAGTTTTAATGATAATATAAATATGCACGGAAACAAGGTTCTAATACAAATAGATAATCCCGCCTTACTACAAAACTTATTCATAATTAAATATTTCAATTTAATAATTTGTTTTAAATCGATAGTTTAACGTACATTTATACAAGTTTTAAAAATCGAATCCGTTCAATTATAATTATAAAAAATCACTGCTTAATAAATAGAGTTTGCGCATGGTGAAGATTCTGGGGGGTAATTCTCAACGGCGCCGTAAAAGTATACAGTATCCTAAATGTAACAATAAGTAATTCCGGTCTATCTTATTCATCCCCCTGTGCATTATTATCGAGGAGTTTTTCACCTGTTGGTATATTGGTGCATGGTCTCAATTTTATACATCCATCATAAACGTGGCCAATAATATTAGAAGTCAAGATGATAGAGCTCATTACCAACGACAGGAATGGAATAGTATCGTATGAGACTGTTAGATGTCTATATAGAATCTATGAAAGTAAATCCAATAAGTTAACATGCAAAACTTATCATTCTGATTCAACAGTAATATTCTCATGTACCTGAATGACCAACTGGGGAATATCTTCGATAAACAAATTCAATGTGCTACCCCAGAAAACATAATTCAGTGCAGTCTTTGACAGAGGTGCAGAAAACATCTTCAAGCCAGCAAATTTGGATTCGAGTAAAGCGATAGCTTCAACATCGGCACCTGCTAACAGAGTAAACATCGAAGCTACTTTTCCATGCTGACCAAACCACTCTTGAAAATCAGTTTTCCTTATTTCATTCATTAAAATTGAGAATGCCAGGCCAGAATTGAAGATAATAGGAACTATTAAAAAGATTATACTGGAAGCAAAACAAATACATTACATAAATAACAATTTAGTTTGATGGAGACATATCATTTGCTCGCAATAATATGAGTAATACCTTGGTTTAAGTATTTGCGGAACGTTCCTTGCGCTTAAGAGTACGAATGCTATATCGAGACTCAAATCTGTGACTATTAATACAAGTTTTACAACAACAAAATTTTGACCCTAGCGAAATGGTTTAGGTATTAGAAATTGCAGTGTTTTGTAAAGCAACAGTATTAACAAGACAACTCACCTCTGGATGCTTCCATCTTGCGAAAAAGTATATTATTGCTAATATCAGGAGGCCAACAAACAATCCAATTAGTTTAATTTCGTAAGTTGCCCACAAATTGGCTAGGTATAGGCAAGTTCATTTAAAGTGTATTAGTTTCATTCGTGATAGAATTTCAAGGAGCATAAGCCGCGTAATTTGCATACCAACAGGTAAAAATCCATATGTTTCATCTAGACAACTAGTAGGATACTCCAGTGAAAACGAATTATAACCTTTATTCCTAACTAAATCATCAAGATCATCAATAATCTGCTGTACTGTTCTCTGTGACCGATCGTCACTTGACTTGAGAGTGACCGACAACAATATTTGATGAGCCGGTGCCTTAGGGTCAGGTTGGTTGCGTCTGTTGGTGGTTATACGTGACGGATCAATGGGGACAAGCTTAGCAAGCCTTGCAACCATAGAGTCAAAGAAAGAGTTCTTATCACCAGGAGATAATTGTTCAAATAAAGTTGTTCCTTCAGGTGTCAACCTTAGAAGACCTGTTGTGGTCTCTATTTCATATGTAAAAAATAATAAAAATTGTCACTCAAACGTACATGTACACATTTATAAACTCAAAGAGGAACTGGAAGCACAGCCTGAAATTCAAAAAAGTGATGCTATTACCTGTATATTTGCTTTCCGTTGAGACTGATGAATACAATCTTGATAAGCAAACAACGTTCAACAATTAAGAGAATATTTAATATTCGTTAACCACATACCTCCATGATACACCCAATTTCCCTCCGTCACTCCGGTAAATGGCTGGTTCAAACTCTTACTCATTACAAAATCATTATCCATAACTACATTGTATGTAGCATCAGGTTGATTGAAAGTACTCTTGAATACTTTGCAGGTAACTGCTAAATTGTCTGATGTAACAGAACAGAGACCAGATTTTGCACTAAATCCCTGTCTGAGAACAGGATTTCCATCTGTCATTTGGTAAATTGAAATGTTTTGCCCCGACCCCGAAAGAGTGATCGGGTCCCTGAATATCAATGTGATGTTTATGGTATCTGAAGATACAGGTGAGCCTGATGGCGGAATTGATGAATTCACAAGAAGATTCTTGAATCCAGCATCTGAAAGTTAACAGTAAGAGCATAAGAAAAAGTGAGAAAAGACATTGAATGTGCTCAATTGGTTCTATATTTAATTAAGGAATGTAAAAATACCCACCTTCGCCCAATTGTTTTTGAAGTGGTATGGAAACTACGGATATGTTAGACTGCCCCCGAATTCCTATCCATACGGTGTTATTCGGAAATACCGCATAATCAGCGGCGTTGAAGTTTTGTAATGTAAAGTTTTGTACAACTACTCCATCATTATCCCTGACAAATAAGGCATGACTATGCGAGGTCTTGGTATCGCGTTTAGGGTAAATCTGGAGACCCGGACCGGTGGGGAGGCCGATAGAAGGGGCGCTAGGCACATTAGGCACGTCAGTAATATCGATTTGATATTCTAGAGACATAAATCCGCCATACGGCAGCTGCCGTATCCCAACCATTAAGTGCTGCGACGACCGTCGTGGTTGTAATGTATCATTCAATATCACGTTGACATTTGTTACAGCACCACTAGATAAGAATGCCACTTTCACGTATTCACGCCGCCCCTTACTAAAGACTGTTACAATACAAAAGTATCCTGTTCCGTCGATAGTTACTTCGCACGCGCTAATACTGTTATTCAAACAGGGGTTGGGGTGCTGCCAGACTAGATGAGGCGTGTCGAATTGTAGAAAATCGGGTTGCCAGAATGTAACATACAAAAACCATTGTGGAGAAGAGGTTTCATTCAGAGCAGGTTTTGATACCTTGTTTAAAAGGGCTATGCCGTAACCGCCCTCTGTGGTGGGAAAGACTTGGAAACTTTGCAGAGTTTGGTTTTTGACATTTTCAAGAGTGTCCTCGTGCAGTTTGATTATTTGATTCGTGCTATTGCTGAAATAGAAAATGAAGCAGGAGATATTTAATGATTAAATCAAATGCCTCACCGAACAAATTTTAATACTCACTGGGGTGCCCTGAAGATTTTCCATAAAACTGTATTATAATACGAAGTTGCTACAAGGAAGCCCTTATCCGGATCGACATTAGCTTTTGCAATCGATATTAACGAAGTACGGTTTTCAGCAAGCATAATGTCACTATCCATGAAATACCAAAATATATTAATTCAAGTGTTTTTAACGCATCCTACTATTATTTATCTACTACCTCTTTGTTTCTTAGCTCTCGTCGGAGCTTTTTACTTCCCTAATTCTTTAAATGACTCTTACCGTTGTAACACTTGCCCACTCCAATCAACCAACTTCCCATAAACGTTATTGTCATTGATTTTCCCCTGGATTATAAGCACATATCCGTTATTAAGCGGGCAAGCATACTGTTGGGACAAGCCAGTATCGTTAAAATTAAGTTTTGTCAACGTGCCGTTTGGATGTAGCAAGCGTATATACAAATCGTTAAAGGAAGGAGGGTTCTTATTAGACAATTGCATCAATCCTGTGCCGTCTGGGTACGTAAAGCCATTATTCATTCCGTCAACTTGAAAGAACGTAATATTGGCAGGGTCTTCGTACTCATACGTTGTATAATCAGCAGCCCAAATTCTTGTAAAGAAACAAGAAAGAAGAACAAACAGAAAGAGATAGCGAAATCTGATGAACATAATACGCAAGAATAGGATAAAACCTGAATCGAATTACATCCTTGACGCAGAATTGAAACTTAAATAAAAAACAAAACTACATGTTGCATTATCCTGCTGTGTAATACTCCTTGGTGTTAGATGTACAAGGCTTATCAAAAGTCACTAGATACCCCCCAAAATTACTAGTAAAACATATAAAATTGTTGTTTTTGAAATCTTGTATAATGAATAGTAATTTTGATGATGTTGTTCTGAACTACAGTCAACTTTGTCCAATTTTGCTGTAACAAAAAATTATATATTAATCTCATCCTTTATAACGACTGAATCATATAACTCGAGCCGGTACAGACAGAGTTGACTGTAATTATATTTTCAAAAAAGAAGAAGATATATTTAGTTTCCGTAAGGTTGCCATATGAAAATATATAAAAATTGTATGTAACATACTTTATCGAACTGCTATTATTAATTAAATCGCCTATATTGGCGGACAAAACTAATATATCTTCTTTCTTTTTCGAAAATACAATTACGGTTATACCTCTTTTGTATCCCCACCCCACCTGTAAAGCGGGACGGATTGCCTCTATTTTATTTCTACCTCATTGTGTCCCCTTCAGATATATCGCTATCTCCGATATTTGCCGTCCCAAATTCCCATATCATATAGTAATCTATTAATATCATACCTCGGTTATATCCCCTATTTACTATATTAATATACGACACTAGTCATTTCTATTTTTACGTCCTATACAAAGTTAGTCACATTTCTCGAAATGTTAAAATAATTATCAAACCGTGCTGAAAAGCGATCAGGTCATAAACACGCCACTTAACTTTAGCAAGCTAGACGACGTTTAAGCCAAGAACGTAGTTTTTAAATATACGTGTATATATATGAGAATGTGTGTTGCTTAACCTTTCCGATATTATTTTATCGAATTAATTATTAAAGGATGGATAACATTAGTAACAGTAGACAAAGAAAGCAAAGAAGAAATCTGTCACTTGAAGATAAATAAACATCATTAAGAGAAAGAAACTGATGTGAAGTATATACGAAATATAATTTCATTAACCGAATTTATTAACCAATAAAATTGCATGTTTTTATATGCTAACTCATTTATATCCACCTCATTTATATTCCAAAGTGGCGATATAAGCGACAAGCCACTGTGCATGCAATCAGATATTTAATACTTCTATATCTGGTGGTCGTTTTGGATCTTCGAAAGACATAATCCGGGAAGCTTATATTTGGATTAACTAACAATGAAATAACTTATTATTTTTAGATTAGACCTTAGAGTTGACAATTCATTTTCTTATATTGATTTAACCGTATATAAAACTCTTGCTGATGCCGAGGTCTTTTTTTTTTTTTTTAGAAAAACCGTTGAATTTGTCAATTCCCCAATTTTTCGTTCTTGCAAATCTCGTACTTCTACAACTTTTTGCCACGTACCAAAGTAGCGGTTTCATATTTTAGGACTTCTCACTGAACGCTTTGATCAGTATTAGAAAATATTGGTTGCTCTGTTTTCGGCTGATAGAATTCATGACTATATAAAGATAAGAAATTTATAATTATGATAAATATAATTGAGTAATTTTTCGGTTTACGGCCTTGCAAAAACGGATAAACTATTGGCTTAGAGTAAATGGCCACGGAGTATTATGGAACACAATTATAGTTAGCCTGGATTTGCCATGCTTGAATTAAATGAGTTAGTTGGGGGATTACGTCCTTATCTTATTCCGTTATCATATTTTGACCCTGGTTGTAATCCTCATTTTTATCATTGTTGTTTGTCGCATACTCCTGCATGTTGAGAGATTGTATGCTTGTGCACAATCTTCCATTTTAATTCATCAATATGCATTGTGATATGATTTACATGCATGGTAAACCCATATACTGTAAATCCCATCACCGTATAAATCTCGTCAAATTGAGTCCATTTTTCTTATCAGAGAAAGTAGTCGCTTCAAAAAGTTTTAAATAAAAATTTTACAATCAAATAGTAGACATTCTGCGGTTAATTGCGTAATTTTTATTTGTCATCGTAGGGTGATAGTGCAAAAGAGAATGGAAGTAACTGTTATAAAATTAATTGGTAGAATAGCGTATATTTCATTTGCCATCGTATAATGGTATAACAACAATAGAAACAATTGTTTCAAAAGACAAAATCGAAAGTAAAATACGGAATAAAATTTATTTCCGGTTAATGGCGTTGTTTTTATTTGTCACTATTAGGGGGAAATTGAAAATTAAACTGGCACGCTAATTTACTTATAATGGCGCACGTTTGCGGGCACCCACATCATTGTTTCCCCAATAGCCATAACCCTTGTTGGACGACCTGTCGGTAGTGCAAAATCGTGCTTATCTCCACTAAATATTTCACCCAAGTCTGCGTACAAGACAATCCCGATAATTTTCACAGTACATTAACGTATAGCAAATCAATAAGGCTCTTAATAATATTAATATGAAGATACAGTAATTTTACAAATCATAAAGATGAAGATAAAAAGATAGAGACTTTATTGATGACATTGAAATGAAATTAGTTGAGGAAAATTGATGAAAAGATATAGTGCTAAAACTATTAGCATTAGAAAAAGTATTTACGTTGTCAGTAATTGTAATAGTATACAAATTTAATAAAGTAAGTCTTACACTATTGAATTTGAAATAAAGCCATAATATCACGAAATTATCCCGGGGATTGGAAAATGAACATATTTGGTGAATATTTTGCGCCACGGACAGGTCCTCCAACGAGAGTTAAGGCTGATGAGAAAAAATTATGTGGGTGTCTGCCATTACTAGGTTACTAAGTTATTTAGTACTAGCGCGTTTTCAGGTAAGATAGCGTACAATGATGGGGAGAACTGCGGACGTCCAACATTGTCCGCAGCATTATGAATGAAAATAAGTTCTGTATTAAAAAGGAATAGATACGTATGAAGGAATGTAATACAAGGTTAGCGTTTACCGGAAAGGCTCGTATGTAGATTTCAAATAGATGATAATTTTGGAATGGCTTAACTAAAATCGGTCGAAGTCATATCCCGAATGAATGAAGAGGGTGGTAGAACGTGTTACATAGTAATATTCCTAACGCTATTGGAGTTATGCGTATTTTTAACTTTTGTAAGTGCATCACTTTAAAATTCATATAATTGATTTGCAAAAAACGCCGAACGTTCGTGATAGATGACGTTGTCGAATTATGCTTTTTTTCTACAAGTAGTGAGGTTATACCACGGAGTTTTTACAAGATGTCTATTTGAAACCCATTGTTTAATCTGTTTTACCATAATACTGTATTTGCAAAAAAAAATAATGGTTTACTGTAACTTTATTGATTATGATAATAATTCTCAATATAAGCACATAACTGCAAAATCATTTGTAACAACTAAACAAATTAATTTATTTTTGTAACTGAGAATACTTCCCAGTCCACCCATTCAAAATTCTCATCGGTAGACCTTATTGCAATTTCGTATAAATTTTTTCCAGAAAAAGATATAACAAATGCATCACCAGAAGCTCCAAAAATTAGATCACCGTCCCCAAAATAAGGATAGGAAAATTTATCCTCAAGAATAGCACTCTCTCTATCAACAATAAAACTCACTATGCCTTCATCCAAATTATCCTTATTTAATGAAAATATAAAGCTTTCTGATGTTTTAACCCATTGATCATCATCATTTAGCTCATGATGCGGAAGTGAATCGAAATTATTTTAAGAAATGGATTGTATCCACCAAGTATTTCTAGTGTACCCTATCAACTATACATGAACAAGAAGTCTATTTATTGATTCAACTATTATGCGGTGACTATTGTACTCAAAATGCGGCCGCGTGCGATATTATATCATTACAGATACAACACAACATGGTGATAGTTTTCATCTGATTGATATTATGGTAGTTTATTGAGTGAGAATAGGTAATCACCAGTTATAATTTCTTAAAGTTGGATGCAACAATACTATATAAAGATATCGGAAACGTATGTTCGCGAAAATGAATTTGTTACATTCGTTAGTTAGAAACAATTAATAAGTTGATCTCTCGTGATAAATTGTGGACACTTTGATAATAATAAGAACAAAATTTCGGGGGGTTTTTAAACTGATATTTCACGTAAATTTTACTGCAAAACGTTTGCGCAAACCCGTTACAATATTGATACGTTTACGGCGGCTGAAAATCGATTACAAATCCTATAAATAATATTAATAGTAGCGTCAAAGTTCTCACTAATTAATTAGAGATGAGGGAATTCTACCTTTTTTTATTCTTGTTGACAAGGATGTGGGGGGGGGCAAATGTTGCTGCACAGTAGGCCTGGTATGGAGAACAAATGTCTTTTGCATATTGAGCGTAAGATAAAAGAGAAATACTCGATTCAAAAACAAAGAAAGCCAATGAGCAGTTTGCCTTTATTGATCGTGAGTGGCTTCCTGTTGGAAGAAGGAATGCCTATTGCAAGAACTACAATAATTATTGAATCTCACTGGCATGTGCTTAAATATAATCACAAGTATAATTATAACAAGCAGGCCTTGTCTTGATTATTTAAATTATATTATAACTTAACTGAACGCTTGGTTGCCGATATGATAAATACCTGGAGAAGATATAGAAACAATCGAGCATTTCCGTCTTGGTGGTCAAACTTCAAAGCGATTGGAAGGAGGGCCTTGAAAAGAATAGAAAATCATCACACAGACCCCATAAGTGGGTCTGTTCTTGCCAGCATATCTAAACAGCCCTTACTTGATGTGCAAGCACTTGATACAAGCGTATGTGATCAACCATCCAAAATTTTTTCCTCAATACGTAACTACAAGTCGCCGTCATGACTATCCGTTTATCTACTTTGGATGCGAGAATCTCATTTAACTAACAATGTATGGAACAATACACAACCGAATTTATCAAACGTATCAGCAATCGTACCTGAGGGAATTGTTACGACGTGACGAAACCATGGCTTGTAATGAAGTTTGAATGCCAGAATGCAACAATCGTCTTGGACTTGCCTTCTGGTTGAGATAACAAGTCGTGTATAAACTCGAGAATCTGTCAGTTTACATTTAATTGTTTAAAAACGTTATAAACTTTTCCGTCCAATCTAATAACAAAAAGTATCATCGGCAGTCACAGGATTTGTGTATGAAAACTTATTATCCAATAGTCTGCTGTGGCATAATGCGGTAGGCGAGTGACTGGTGCATCGATTTTAACCAATAGTATCTATGGTTTTATCACGTGAGTTTAATGATAAAAATCATCTTTACGATCGAACGAAATCTTTCCACTTTTCCTCGTTAGTGTTTACCAAAAAGAAACGAGAGAACTTTAAACCAAGATGTCAAAATATAACCAACCACAACACTTTAAACCTAATAAACAACCAGAACCGCGACAAGATACCTTTAATAAAACTATTAACGATTTTCAGTCTCAATGAAGAAAGAAAACGAAGAAGTCTTTTGCTTTCCTTGGAGACGATATTTGACTATCTTTATCATACTGAATTTGTTTTTCATTATATTTGATCCCGCAGGCAAAGACTGGTACTTATTTCACCGTCATCCATTGCTGGGTGTGCCCGTTTTGACAAAACCTGACCGCCCGTCTCGCCTTATTTTATTTTCATTTTTAGTATACTATCAATTTTAAGTTGGGAAGATTGGAAGAGAAATCGAAAAGCAAGTAAAAGAAAACAAGCCGAACAAGAACGACTTCGACGAGAAAAAATAAGTCAAATAAAGAAGAATATTAAGAAGAATTCCAACATGAACAAGAAAACCTGACGAAACGAATCCGTAAATAGAAGGTTGAAAACGAATAAAGAAATGGCGGAATTGCAAAGAAGAGTAGCGGTCAGTAGAAGAACAGCGAAGATATGAAGCGAGGGTGAAACTCACAATAATGTAGATGTGCTATTACAAGTGATTAGACAGACTGGATTATATCACTAAAATATATACTTTACAAATGATTCAGCGGCGTCGTAATAATTGTATTCTAATAAGTAGCGGTATACCTGTGGATATACAGTAGTTTAAACTGTGCCCGAGGCATCCTTTATATCCGATAACTCCGATGGCCGTTTTATTTCATAATTAGGAAAATAATTACTGCTTGTATTGCTATTGCTATGTATTGTATTTCGGTTACATGGGCGGGGGGTTTATTTTTTTGACGAAAACAAAATTTCTGACCATAATTATTAATTGAATCGTTCTATTAAATTAATTAGTGAAGTTATTAATAAAATTAAATTGTATTTATTAATCGTAAGTGGTTATACGTGTTTCTTATCAATAGATAATTGTTTGAATAAAATTGTTTAGTCTTTTTCCATCGTATTGCTAAAATATTGATTTACGTTACATGTTTTTGTGTAATACATTTAATGATCATAATAGTATTAATTAAATTCGCCACACTAATCATTACTTTTGTTAAGTCTAGTTGGTTCGGCATCACTAAAGAAGAAAAACTCAACAATCAACCGTCTCGTTATATATGGATATAGTATTATTTATTTAAATCAACAGTTAGTTTTATTCTTATCATATATTTCTATATTATACAAATGTATATTTTATACGAGATCTAAAATCGGATCTGTTCAATTATAAACAATTGTACAATCGCTGCTTAATCAAATAGAGTTTGCGCGCAAATGACAATTTGGAGAACGCCGTAAAAGTATACTTGCATTTTCTACTCTCGGGAAAGTATGTCGCTGGTATCTCATTCATTCTTCTGTACATCATCAGTGACAGATGTTTCACCTCTTGGTATACTGTGGCCTCATTTCTTTTCTTTCCATCTTACACATCCATCATAAACGTGGCCAATAATATTAGAAGTCAAGATGATAGAACTCATTACCAATGACAGGAATGGAATAGTATCGTATGAGACTGTTAAATGTCTATATAGAATCTATAAATTAATGGCAGCAAATCCAATAAGTTGACATGCAAAACTTATCATTCTGATTCAACAGCAATATCCTCATGTACCTGAATGACCAATTGGGGAATATCTTCGATAAACAAATTCAATGTGCTACCCCAGAAAACATAATTCAGTGCAGTCTTTGACAGAGGTGCAGAAAACATCTTCAAACCAGCAAATTTGGATCCAAGAAAAGTGATAGCTTCAACATCAGAGTGATTACTGAAATTATTCTTGCATTCTGACCAAACCATTCTTGAAATTTAGCATTTTTACTTATTTCTCTCATTAAGATTGTAAACGCCAAGGCAGAATTGAAGACAATAGGAACTATTAAAAAAATTGTACTGAAAATAGAACACATTACATAAATAATGATGACTATATATCGTACTCGCAATAATTATAAATTAACATAAATTGCAATACCTTGGTGTATGTATTTCCGGAACGTTCTTTGCACTTAAGAGTACAAATGCTACATCAAGACTCAAATCTGCAAGTATTAGTGCAAATTTTATAACAATAAAATTGCAACCCTAATGAAAATAATTTTAAGTATTAACATTTGTGACATTTGGTACAAGCAGCAGCACAGCATTGAATGCATACAGGAACTCACCTCTGGATACTTTCTTCTCGCGAAAAAATAGATTACCAATAACACCAAGAGACCAGCAAACAATCCAATTAGTTTAATTTTGTAAGCTGCCCACAAATTGGCTAGGTATAGGCAAGTTCCATTTAAAGTGCATTAGTCTCATTCATGATAACATTTCAAGGAGCATAAGCCACGTAATTTGCATACCAACAGGTGAAAATCCATATGTTTCATCTAGACAACTAGTAGGATACTCCAGTGAAAACGAATTATAACCTTTATTCTTAACTAAATCATCAAGGTCATCAATAATCTGCTGTACTGTTCTCTGTGACCGATCATCACTTGACTTGAAAGTGACTGACAACAATATCTGATGAGCCGGTGCCTTAGGGTCAGGTTGGTTGCGTCTGTTGGTGGTTATACGTGACGGATCAATGGGGACAAGCTCAGCAAGCTTTGCAACCATAGAGTCGAAGAAAGAGTTCTTATCACCAGGAGATAATTGTTCAAATAAAGTTGTTCCTTCGGGTGTCAACCTTAGAAGACCCGTTGTGGACTCTATTTATGTTCATTGGAGGAGATACAACTATCAGTTAGCTGCATTTATAAACCAAGGTGATTATGATGCCTTACCTGTATATTTTCCTTCAGTATCAGTTGAGGCTAATAAAGACAAATTACTAATAAGCAACAACAATTAAGAGAACGTTTACTATTTGTTAACTGAACTGCATACCTCCATAGTACACCCAATTTCCTTTTGTCACTCCAGGAAGTGGCTGTTTCAAAATCTTGCTCATTACAAAATCATTATCCACAACTACATCATACATAGCACCAGGTTGGTTGAAAGTGCTCTTGAATATTGAGCATGTAACCGCTGAGTCATTTGATGTAACTGTACAGAAACTAGATTTTGCACTGAATGCCTGTCTGAGAATAGGATTTCCATCTGTCACTTGGTAAATTGAAATGTTTTGTCTTGAAAGAGCGACCTGATCCCTGAATATCAAGGTAATGTCCGTAGTATCTGAAGATACAGATGAGCCTGATGGCGGAATTGATGAATTCACAAGAAGATTATTAAACCCAGCATCTGAAAGGTAGGAGTATGATGATTATTGAACTATGAAGACATTGACATAAATAGTGCTCATTCATGCAAAACTGTTGTTTGTAAGATTAGATTTAGCTCACCTTCTTGCAGCAATTTTTTAAGGGGTATAAAAGTTATGTAAAGTACTGGCCTCTCCAGAAATCCCATCCACAAAGTGTTATTCGGAAATATTGCAAAATCATCAAAGCCGAAATCTGTCATGCTAAGGGTTTGTACATTTGCTCCATCTTTGTCCATGACAGATGCATCAAAATTGACTGTACCATTTAGAGTCATTGTCTTTCCTACAACCAGAAACCCACCATATGGCAGCTTTCGTATTCCCAACACTTCCTTTATAGTTCCATTATACCCACTAGACATTATCACACTAACATCAGTTACAGAACCACCAGATAGGAACGCCACTCTCACATAGTCAAAACCATAGCCGGTAGGGGTCTCTACAATACAAAAGTATCCTTTTCCGTCGGCAGCCACTTCACACCCACATATCTTAAAGCGACCATTAGCGAGTGGGTTGGGGTTCTGCCAGACTAGCCAAGGTATGTCGAATTGCAAAGAATCGGATCGCCAGAATGCAATGTATAAAAACCATTGTGGAAAAGCATGGAATACTTTCGTGTCGAGTGGACTCTGAGCTAATGCTGGTAAACATTTTAAAAGGGCTATGCCATAACCACCTTCTGTGGTGGGAAATATTTGCTGATCAATCAGAATTTTGTCGTCATTTCCTGTGAGACTGCCTCCATATAATTGGCTTATTTGACCCGTGTTATTGCTAATTTTTTGAAAAAGGAAATTTTAAATCAAAATGTTCTCATTCGCAAGTTGCCAATATTTAATGTTTATACTCACGGGGCGCTAAAAATTTTCCATAAAACTGCATTCCTACTTTTAGTTGCTACAAGGAAATTCTTATCTGGGTTGATGTTAACTTTTGCAAGTGGTAGCGATTTAACATCGACAGGAATATCAGTCAACATCACATCTCTATTCATGGAATGCCAAAATAATTAATTCAAAACTCAGCGTTGTAATAAAATATATCTGCCAACTACTATTACTATTTCCAAGCCCTTGTTGGAGCTTTGATTCAAAGTAATGCTTACCGTTGTAGCACCTGCCCGCTCCAATCAACCAATGTTCCATACACAAATTTGTCGCCGCGTATCTGCATTACAAACACGTATCCGTCATTAAGCGGGTAAGCACGCTGTACGCAAGTAACAGTATCGCAAACTAAAGGCACGGTAAATTTCGTCAAGGTGCTGTCTGGATGTATCAGACGTATATATATATTTTTCTCAGAATGGTTTTCATCCTTATCATGGAGCAATTGCATCAATCCTGTACCATTTGGATACGTAAAGCCATATTCAGAGTCAGTGAGATCTGAAGCGAAATAAAGAAAGTCAGTTTCTTCGTATTCGCGCGTTATATTATCATAAGCCTGAATGCTTGTAAATGAGTAAAAAGTAAGAACGAACAACAAGAGATAGCGAAGCTTTTTGATCATAATCGTGCAAAAATAAGATGGAATTGACAATCAACAACTGATTATATCCTTGGGTGTAGAATTGGTAAAGAATTCTGCAAGTGCAGCAGCGAAATGGGTTTTTTGGTTTTTTGGGGGAGTTTTTTTCTTTTTTTCTTTTTTTCGTCAATGAAGACGCATTCATAAAGGTCCCGGATGCAGCCTCACAATACACCGCCTTTTCCATACATCTTCTTAATGGACACCGACAAACAAGTTCGCTCACACATAAGCCTAAGTCGACTGTTTTGGATTAGATCGCCGTTATGTCATACGCAATAATTTCAATACAAAATACCATATCAGGTAATAGAAGTATAAATTTGGCTTCACCATTCAATATCCATATTTATACTTGCATTTTTAAAAATGTGTGTTGATAACCATGTGACATTTACACTCAGAAACACTCGTCGGGATGTCACCAACAAATTGTAGATGTCTATCAGTAAGATTTCTTTGAAACTATCCTGACGACACTGTTTCACAATATACGTTATTACAGATCAACGTCAACAAGACATTAATACATCTGTTAATTAATTGCTGAACATTTTCACTGATAAGAAAACGTGGAATCGTAAGAGAAAATGCTTTTATTATACCACTGGCATTAATATTAAATATTGTTTACTTAATCATTACTTAAAATTTTGTCATCAATCAGCCCTTCGGTTATTTGAAATTCATATTGCATAACCTTGTCTTTTATTCTTCTCTTAGTTCTTTCTTTGAAGGTGGAGTATCTTAACCCCTGTAATAAAGTGTCATTATTGAACACGCTAATGTTGGGAAGAGTATTTCATTCCAGTATACTTTATTCCACGGATCTAACACTTCAGTCTTCGCAAGGCTAGTTTAATAATAGTAATCATAATAGCAACATTGGAATACTAATACGTCTACATTTTTTTATGATCAGTCTTAAATACTAACTAGAGTGAAAATTAATTTAAGAGGCTTCGCCTCCTCAGCACAACAATTACGTAGCAAACTGTGCACAATACGAAATAAATTTCCTTTTAATTAATTAGTAAGCTACGTTGTACATGCATAGAATGATACTAAAATAGGTAATTACAATAGATAATGGTTTAACGGTAAAGTGTATATCGCAGGATAGAAAATTATTCTGAAATGCTCAACGCTCAAACCCGTTATACTGTTTATTATATAGATAACGATGTTTAAAAGAAAAACAGCCTCGAGATGCAAATCGTATATACTCGCAATAATAAAGAGTACTGTTTCCACTAATTGAACGTTAAGGTTATTCCACGAGAAAAGGATTAAATAAAAAACGACACTTTTTAAGAAAAGTTAACATTCTAAACTGAAACTGACTAAAACGATATATTTATAAACAAGGAAGTTTTAGATGAGCAAAAATATCAGCAATAAAAACGATAATACACAGACGGCGGACGAGTATGTTCGATTTCCTCTGGGAGCTACAATTGAAAAGGATTATGGTTCAGCTGCGCTGCCGCAATGTTGGTTTTCTTGGTACAGTAAGAATGGCGGTGACAATCGTTTTTAAGAGTTTTTATGAAAATTTAATACAAAAATCGGTTATCTGTTATTACAGTAATATGTAAACATACGTGTATTATCACTTTCTTATTTACTTGATATATCAGACATAATTAAAAATACCCTTGTCTTTATATTTGCATTTTAATAATCTCAGTGAGATTTGGATTGACTATAAACTTATAATAACAGTCTCAAATCTACTATAAGATGTTTGCGTTTTTAGACTTGTTAATTAAAATCTAGAAGATTACAAGTCAAAAGATATTTTTTTGCCTGATATAGTCTAACCTGTTAATGTAAAAAAGCTTTTACATTGCTTCTTGTCGACTTACTCAAAATTTTATTCATAATATTAGGTTTAAATTAATATAGATCTAAAAGAAAGCCACTTTTCATCTTGGTTTTTTTGCAAGTTATAATATTAGTCTTGAACTTTTGTTAAATAAAAGTTTTTTTTTTAAATAATAAGAACTAAATTGACATATTTAAAAAATACTGGCCGCCATTCTTTTCACCGGGGACTGTATTAGTTGGAGGCGAAGCCGGAGGGTCCGAGGCGATAGTAACTGTCGAAGATGATGGTGATAATGGTTTTTTATAGGTAGTCGTGATTGTTTCTTCGATTGGCGTTTCAATAGATTTTGATTTTTTGTTGAGAGCAAATCTACGAGATGGTGAGCTGAACTTTGGTTTCTCCGTCTTCAATCCATATTGGAGCATCTCTTTTTTAATCCCTCCATTCTGGATCCTGATTGAGAAATGAATTCGAAATGGTAAAGTTCACAATATAGTTGGTTTTCGCTTACTTCTAATTCACCCGTAACCATTAACATGGATCCTTTTCTTACAGATGAGCTTCTCCCTGTCAGTCTCAGTATATTTTTGTTGTGCGAACATGAACGCTCGTGTCAAACCATTTAGTTCCGCTTGTATCTTTTCCTACCAATTGTTCAGTCGTGACGTTGAACGTCCAGTAATCTTCTTGCAATTTGGGTTGTTCGTTTAGGAAACCCATACACACATTACGTAGGTGGTATTGATTTATCATCGTAACATGTTGGTTGACATCTATATGTCGACACCTGAGTATCCTCGTTGTAATAGAAAATGAATTTATACAAATACTTTTTTACTTGCTTCACATATGTCATCCTTCGTGATTTTGGTGATTACTCCAAAAATTCTAACAACATCGTTTTTAGATGGCTTATATATTGACGTTGTGTCGAGCCAACAAGCGGATTAAAGATTTTAATCAATAGTTTTGTGTGTGTGTGGACAAAATTGTATGCCATGACATTGAATGATTAGATATTCATTTGCTGTTGTTTCTGTTATTTGTTTAATAATACACGTACTGTCGATGTGGATGAACATTTCGGAAGTTAGTTGAAGTTGTGAACGTGCTTTGGCGAGAAATGATGTTGGATGGGTAAGAATGCGTGGAATATATAGAGATTTTGTAATTCGTGATGATATTCTGGAACGCAAACTGGGTGATCAAAGGTGATGCCTTCACTGACATACCAGTGGACAAATGCATGCTTAGCAAACTTATGATCGAACATGTCTATGCAGTTGTGTTGGACATAATGCACACGGCACACTGTACTTAACCAGATCGCCACTGGTAGGGAGGATGGGTATAGAATTTCTGCTTAAGAGTATATCACAGGCTTCGATTGCTAGTTGGGAAGAAAGAAAGGGTAAACGAAAAGTATGATAAGAACAGTGAAAGTAAGAGTAAAACTATACTGTTGACAATAAAGCAGCTGCTCTCTGATGATGCTATATAAAATGCTTAATGTCGTGCGATGAAACAAATGGACCATGCACTGTGTTCTCTCTAAGCCTTGCAGCATATTAATATAATAAAATCCCTTGCTTCAATCAATTCAAATCAATTCCAGTGCACTCTCAAGCCAACCCAGACCAATTCCCACATCCTTCTATTAGAAGTTAAATTCTTACCCATATGAGTGACATTAGCTCTCAACCGGTCTAACGAAAATGTATCTTTTCGCCATTCCATTCTCTTATGCCAATCTCTACAATCAAAGGTATTCCGTTTATAATACAAGTTTCATGTGCTCTACGTATGATTTCCTCGTTTGTAAAGTAGCCGCATTGATCTGTGGTACACCTGTTCGAAATGACATTGTTCACAGCGTGGTGATTGTGGATCAAGGAAAGAGAAGAGAGCAGATAGAGTTGAGCCGGTATCGTCTCAAGATTAAGGCTGAGATTGGAGAATTTGTTTATGGTTGATAGTTGATATTGACTTTATGAATCCAGTAGACACCAATAGACAAACTGGATAGTGCGTTTGGTCTTAGATATAGCAATAACTACGTCATCTTGAAATGAATTTTGTCTGAAAAGTGATTGACATGTGATTGCAGAAGTACATTTTATTGGCTAGGGCTTAACCAAATATAGAATAATTAATGTATATCAACAATAATAATGTGAGGCATCGCCCCTGACTATTTTGGTAATTGAAATTTTTATATTACCAAATATGGTAAGTACGATGAACTAGTGAGAATTTTTTTTTTATTTTTAGAACAGAGCAAAAAGAAGTTAACTAATTGTTGTTCACTAAACTTTAACATTTTCTGTAGGTACTACGAGAGACTGGATATGTGGCTACTTTTATCAAGAACTTGAAAATAATGTCCACAAATATCTTACTAATGTGCAGACAAAGCAATTGCATAAGGACATAAAAAGATTCTTGCACTGGTTGTTACCAAGTGCCTGTTGAGCGTAAGATTACGGTACGTATTATATCATCGATAAGTGTAATATTTGACGTATGCTAAATGATCAACTTTTTTTTATTCAGATTAAATCTCAGTTCGGAGCATTATCATGCTTGGGAGAAAATTTGCTTTGCCACGAATATGATTCAGAATACAGTAACGGGTTTTACGAACGAGCTGCTGAATAATATAAATAGTGTAACAGTAATTATGATACATCATAGGCTTAGTGCGTTCTCATCAGTACCTCCCCTGCCGGTATAAACAAAGAATTTTCATATGAAACGAACGGTGCGCAAGAATCTATCCGTGAGATTCTGGTATATACATTTCCGGTATAAACAGAGTTGACTGTAATTTACTTCCCCGAGTGCTAAGCTATCTCCCCTACCAAATTTAGTAACGAAATGTTACCAAATCTGGTACTGATCAGAGAACCCTATATCATAATAGGCTTGCGTCTTATGCCTGGCCCATTTTGAGCTAGTCAATAACAATACTTCCCAAATGCAGTAGGGAGGTATTGATGAGAACGCCCTTAATATTAATTCTTTATGGATACAAAAGCTCGCTGCTACTGTCATATAACATGTTGACAAATCTTCTGATCCGCAATAAATTCGACTGATTTGTCAATCTGTGAAAAGAGTTCGTTCCTGATTTGAGGATGACTTGCTGGTTGTGACGTAATTATTTGACACTTAGCACAAAATACAAGTTGCGATATAAGAAAGCGATCGGGACCCATAGTAAAAAATCTTGGAATCTTTCTTATACCGAGAGTTTATTAGTAACTCTCTTATCAAATTTTAATTAGTGTTTCTTATATCGAGAGCGTCTTATATCGAGTTTCACTTGTAGTGAATTTAAATTCCATCATAGAATAGATAACTTTCCGAAAATTAAAACGGGTTACAAAAAACTATGTTTATACTTTCCTCCTCTCAATAAAGTAAATTTTATTAAAATAATATGCAAATATGACAACCAAACCGGACGTTTAAAGAATGAGAAAGCTTTCCTATGAAAACCGATACGCCATAATCAGATAGAATTACAGCTATCAATCGAGAAAGAGAATTAATTACATGAAAAAATATTGGACCAGTTTACATTTGAAACACATATGGCAGTTCATGTCATTGTTAATAAGAAACTAAGGGGCTGAGCTGCTGATGGGGCTTTTAATAAACTAACTTATAGTAACTGGCAAGTACCACCATCATTATTAAACTTTTCTTTTATACAGATTCCATACGGCCTAACATCTTTTCCTTCCTTGGAAATCCAATACTCGCCAACTCCAGTCCTTGTAGCCTCAATCTTGATCATATTTTTCGGATTTACTCGATTTTGAATCACTATCATGTACGTCCTCCCAGCAAACTTAAATTCCTTTGCATAAAGTTCGGCTACGCAAACGTCAGGCGTTGAATAAATACCTCGTCCAAAAGCGAAACGCTTTCCCTTGCTCAACAAATATCCTTCTTCGGAAATTGATCTCGCATTATACTTAGCGGTACCATGATAAGACACTGGCCAAGCTGTATCACCAGTACCAAGCCAAGTATCATCACCATTGTCATATTTTCCAGAGACCTTTAAAGCAAACCGTTGCCATCCGCACGGTCTTCGATACCGCATATTTCCTCGCATAAACGTCTCTTCGAAATCCGTAACGTGTGTGAAATCGTAATCGTATTTTGGGTCCAAAGCACTTGAAGGTAAATAACCGATCACACGTCCACCACCACAAAGTCGTAGGACCATATGTAATATGCTCTCATTTTGAATGTTATAATCCGCAAGCGTGCGACCATTCTCCAGTGCTCTACCTGCAAAAATAAGTCTTTGTTTGTCTGGCGGAAGGTCGATTTTGTCTTGCATCATTTGTTTTACATTGTATATGGTATCACCTGCATGGAATTCAAAAGTGTAAGTGGCCCCAGTAAGAGTCTTAACGAAGATCTGCCCACCTTTAAATTTTTGGTCACTTTGTTTAGCAATGGAACCACCGACATCACCACCAATAAGATTAACTTGATGAAGTGAGCCCAAGTCGACTTGCTGACACACGCATTGTCTGCTTTGTTTTACGATGGAGTCGACATCGCCACTGACACGGTTAAATTGATGGAACGAGTTCATGTCGACTTGCTTATAAGAAGCATCGTATTTGGTTAATTCATTTTCTGATACAAATCTATGGGTTTCCATCATGGCAGAAAGTGCCGAGTTAAGAAGATCAACGTTGAGAGAAGGCATGGTTAATAAGAATAAGTGTGTGAGTGTCGAATTGTAGAAAAAAAGGCCATTATCAACGTTGTCATTTATATATATATATATATATATATATATATATATATATATATATTATAATGATGGCTCCATTGTTAGAAACATAATTGTTACAATTGTTTAAGAAAAATTTCACAAATGGAACCTCTTGTTTACTCCTCGATAACCTATTTGATATAAGCGAGATTTATTTTTAAATTATGCCCCTGTTGGCGTCAGCAAATTTGTGTAATATGATCTTTCTTTCATGGTCATATGACAAAGAATTTGGTCAAGGTACGATACGCATATTTATTTATTGTATTTGCATATTGATGTCAATAGTTGATTGTAGGCTATGAAATGTATTACTGTACTTAAGCTAACAACAATAATCGTATTGGTGTTCAATTCCTTAGGCGGGGCAAATTGCCCTTTTTTGTCTTGCATTGTTTTTTCCTGTTCTCGATCGCTTTCTATCTATCGCAGATAGGAATCGATGGTGTTGATTTTTCTGAAATAAGTGGGGTTGGGTTATCTGCTTTATTAGGTCGTTTTTGTTTTCGTGATTAGGAGTAGGAGTGATACTCGATAAGAGATACGTACATGAGCGATTTTATTGAGATGAAGTCGAAGTTGGGAGGGTGTGGGGATGGTTGTTGAAGTTATTTGTAAAGTGTTAAGAGATGGAAAGTCGAAACTATGAAGTTTAACACAAAGTTTGTTGCTATAAATGTCTAATTCGCCTATCTACAATTGACACTTTTGAGCCGAGTTTTGCTTTGGTAGGTCTTTCATGCAGGTTTTTTTTCGGCACTGTGATGGATTCTTATGTCAAATTCTGCAAATCGTATTAGTATTGCAGTATTGTGGGAGACAAATTGGTTTGCACTGTAAAAGTAGTGGTATTTGAGATTCTTTCTCCCTGTTGAATATAAGTAATATGTCTGATCAAATATAAAATGTATTTCAACGAAGCGAGGAGATAAACATGTGAAAATATTAATCTCTTGATGCAATTCATCGTTCTGCTCATTGAGTTGTGACGGTCGAGCTATTGAAAAAAGTTGATCGAAAAAAAAACCAACCAAAACTTCAAGTTGGGATTCCTTTGTTTGGACAAGTTTCACATTCTATCAAATCACAAACGGACATACACGTTCCTTTTAGTGAATTTTACTTATTGTCTCTATGGCAACTTCTATTACAAAATTATGCTTTCAAACCACTATTTCCCTTGGCCTCATTTCTTCTCCAGCGAACAGAGTATCAGTCTGCACTACGCAATTTTTTACGCAATGGTGAGAGGTATCTAAATTTACATTGGATAAGATACATCCTCATTGAATTGTGTTGGTGTTTCTTTCTTCGAGTTAATAAAACTACATAATGACTTTGTACAAGTGATGTTGTTCCGGAATTAACTGCCACTTATCATATAGTATAGCAACAAAGACATTGATGTAATATAATTTCGCATTCGATTATTTTATGTCAATCAATTACCCATGCGAATTGTATATGTAATTGATTTTCTGATGGGGACATTTATTGACTCAAATGAGCAATTTAATGTAACGCTTTTGACCTTTTTTGCATAATAGTTCTCAGTTCAGAACCCAGTTACTCAGTCTCAGTCCATATGGGTGGGTGGCTGAAAGTAATGCGAATAGGTATGTTACAATAAAAAGGAAATTGTCAGGCTAAATGGTGAAATGTAATGCAAGATCTGCCATCGAGGAAGTATAGTTTGAATATTTCGATAGAACGATAATACAGTTAATCATGGGAAAGAAATATAATAATAATAATAAGATTGTTTTATTTTCATCACGAGCTAATTCAAATATATAGCACTTGTTTATGTAGATCAATCATGAAGAGCATAAACATTAACTTCATGCGAAAAGTATGCTATACGATAACAGAAATAAAAGTAATCGTTTTGGGAAAGGATCAGCTTTTCTGCCTTGATATTATTATTTGCGTCAAGGCTTTTTTCCATTTAACAGAAATAGGGTGACTTTATTTATTACATTTTGGCGTAATACAATGGCATTCAAAAATACTGCTGATCAAATAACTCATACACCTTAAATCTGATATTAACGTTCACAATACTCGCATTAATATTTCTCTTAGCCTATTGTATGTTATTGTCAGGACTGCAAAAGGTACTAGTACATTAATTTTGGCTGGTTAAAAATTTAAATATTTTAAATTTAGTCTAATGCATAGAAATAATGATCACTTGAAGTTTGATAAAATAAATAGAGTATGGGAAAAGATTGAGCATAGACATATTTTTCTTGATTTAAATGGCTATTATTTGTTTTTAGTCTATCATGATGAAAGGGTGTATACAAACTCTAGTCACTACAGTATTTCTGATGATATTATTTATTATGTACCTTAAGAAAGAATGACTTGTTTACGTTTCATTGTCATTATGACAAAGATGACAACTTTTATGTTGGGTGGGAAAAATATGCTAAAGAGTGACAAGAGACTGTTTGACTATAAAAAAAAAAGCCTCTCAGAGGCGGGGGGTGGGCTCACAAAGGTATATAGATAAGATCCCCACGAAGATCTGCATGAAACATTACTGTAAATGTGTATTTGACGGACGGTTAATGCGAAAAATTAATTAGGAATCAAACAATTCGAATGGCGAATAGGTATCAAAAGAAGTTATAGTTAGTCACATGTCCAAATGATGGTGATAAAAGTGTACCTTATTTGAAAGATATTTGCATAATTTGTTATTTGTGAGACATCAGTTTCAGCATTCAATTTTTATACTTGAATGCAGAATGTGGGCTCTATAACAAAACCCCTATTCACAAACAGGTTAAGAAACTTACCAGCTGTAAAACCTAACAAGTATGAATTGGGTTCTGTAAATATGATGCATATTATTATATTTTGACATTAAGTTAATTCAGCCACCCACCCTGGATAAATATTATGATTATGTGATAAGGAGAAGAAAACATGTACAATCAGATATTATATTATTTAAGAAAGTTCTTTTGCCTATGAAATATCAAATGCTTATTAATCCTCAGTAGATAATTTTCTCATAATTGGAATACTTCATAGTTAAATTGGAGTAAACAATGCTCTGCACAATCCAGATTTTATTATTCACTTACAGTATAAACTATTCATATAACAATAACTTGCATGTAATCTAACTTTTATGCATAATTACCTACCACTAAATACAAGCAATCTATTAAACACAAAAATTTTACAAAATAGATTGTTACTCTAACAATTATGTTAAGATTACTTTATAATTGTGTTAAGATACTATGTGCCTCAGCATCTCCTTGTTCAGCTGCTTTCCAAAACAACTCAAATGCTTTTTGAATATTCTCTTCCACTCCTATCCCATTCTCATAGAAAACACCAAGATTATATTGTGCCCTGGCATGCCCTTGTTTAGCTTTCTGAAACAACTCAACTGCTTTTTGAATATTCTTTTGTGCATTGGCATGCCCTTGTTCAGCTGCTTTCCAAAACAACTCGAATGCTTTTTGAGTATTCTTTTTTACTCCTGTCCCAAGCTTATAGCAAAAACCAAGATCATATTGTGCCTTGGCATGCCCTTGTTCAGCTGCTTTCTGGTACAGCTCTACTGCTTTTTGAATATTCTTTTCCATTACTATCCCATGATCATAGCAGATGCCAAGATTATATTGTGCATTGGCATGCCCTTGTTCAGCTGCTTTCTGAAACAACTCAACTGCTTTTTTATTATTCTTTTTCAATCCTGTTCCATGCCTATAACAAACACCAAGATCATATTGAGCATTTGCATATTCTTGTTCAGCTGCTTTCTGATACAGCTCAACTGCTTTTTGAATATTCTTTTCCACTACTATCCCATTATAATAGCAAACACCAAGACTATATTGTGCATTGGCATGCCCTTGTCCAGCTACTTTCCAAAACAACTTGACTGCTTTTTCAAGATTCATTCCTACTCCTATCCCATTATAATAGCAAACACCAAGATTATATAATGCCTTGGCATGTCCTTGTTCAGCTGCTTTCTGATACAGCTCAAATGCTTTTTGAATATTCTTTTCCACTCCTGTCCCATGCCCATAGCAAAAACCAAGATCATATTGTGCATTGGCATGCCCTTGTTTAGCTGCTTTCTGATACAACTCGACTGCTTTTTGAATACTCTGTTCCACTACTACCCCATGATTACAGCAAACACCAAAATCATATTGAGCCATAGCATATCCCTGTTCAGCTGCCTTTTGACACAGCTCAACTGCTTTTTCAAGATTCATTTCTACTACTATCCCATGACCATAGCAAATGCCAAGATTATATTGTGCCTTGGCATGACCTTGTTCAGCTGCTTTCTGGTACAGCTCAACTGCTTTTTGAATATTCATTCCTACTACTATTCCATGATTGTAGTAAATACCAAGATTATATTGTGCCCTGGCATGCCCTTGTTCAGCTGCTTTCTGATACAACTCAACTGCTTTTCGAATATTAATTTCTACTACTATCCCATGACTATAGCAAACACCAAGATTATATTGTGCCTTGGCATGACCTTGTTCAGCTGCTTTTTGATACAGCTCAACTGCTTTTTGAATATTTATTTCCACTCCTGTCCCATTATAATAGCAAACACCAAGACTATATTGTGCCTTGCCATGCCCTTGTTCAGCTGCTTTTTTATACAGTTCAAATGCTATTTGAGTAATCTTTTCCACTACTATCCCATAACTATAGCAAACACCAAGATTATATTGTGCAATGGCATGCCCTTGCTCAGATGCCTTCTGAAACAACTTAACTGCTTTTTCAATATTTATTTCTACTCCTGTCCCATTATAATAGCAAATGCCAAGACTCCATTGTGCCATGGCAAGCCCTTGTTCTGATGCTTCTTGATACAGCTCAACTGCTTTTGCAATATTCTTTTCTACTCCTGTCCCAAGCCTATAGCAGAT